CCCCATGTGTTTATGCTATCTTTTTTTAAATCCATTCATAACATGTTACAAAGTATTAGACAGAATTAGTGAAAAGTAAACATTCAGCCCTTCCTCATTATTCATATAAATCTCAAACCTTCTCTTTTCCCCACACTAAAAAAAGATAAGCACACCATTTTCTGGCCTTGCATTTCTTTGTAGTATACCTCTTGGTCTGGTTCCATCTCCTGGCCTCTCTCAGTGGCTATACTCTTCCCACTCTGGGAGGCAGAGGATGGTTAAGTCCCACTTAATTCTATCATGCAATGACTTAAAGCAATTCCACCTGGCGGACATGGCCACATGGAAAAACTAAACCTCTCATTTGCCTGTCATTTTTGCTCCTAATCCACTGGTACTTCCTGAACAAGGAATTGAGAATCCCTGCTGTTACATTAATTAAACTTAGTTCAGGGAGCTACAGCTCCCACCCATTTAATTAATGGCCAAATGGCCAATTTCAATGTGCATGTCTAGGTTGATACAAATAATATATTTGAATTCCTCCAATTTAATATGAAACTTTCACTACTAGAAAACTGTAGAACTGAGACTCACTTTTAACAATGGTCAAATTAAACCAACTATACTTTTATATATAGACTTCATTGACATTATCACTTAATAATAAATTATTATTATCATTAAAGCAGCTAACAATGTGTCAGGTACCACTGTAGACATTTTACAAGTATTAAGTCATTTATTTATTTATTTAGAAAGAGAGAGACAGACACATTGATGTGAGAATGTTTCAGCTGCCTCCTGCACAACCCCCCACTGGGGATAGAGCCTGTAACCCGAGCATGTGTCCTGATCAGGAACTGAATTGGGACCTCTCAGTCCATGGGACAATGCCCAATCTACTAAGCCACACCGGCTGGGCATGTATTAACTCATTTAATACTCACACCTGCCATATCTCATTAGGGTCCATTAGGGTTTCATTAACATATGAAAATCTGTAGTTCAGTACCATGCTCCCAGTTGCCTACTAGAAGTGGCAGAATAGAGATTCAAATTCCGGTTTATTAAGGATTGGCCTCAGTCCCTTCTTTTAAATCGTCTTTTTTAAAAAAAATTATAACATATTTATTAAGATATAATTCACAGGGGGGGTGGGAGTGGGAAGGAGGGGGTCAATTGGGAAATGGGGGACAATACTTTTAACAATAAAAAAAAATCACATACCATACACTTTACCCATTTAAAGTGTACAGTTCAATGGATTTTAGGGTATTCAGAGTTATGCAACCATCACCAACCACATTCAATTTTAGCACATTTTCATTACTCCCAATAGAAATCCTATTGATTTCTAATGACTCATTAGCAGTCATTCCTTGTTTCTCCCACTCCCCTTTCCCCACTCCTGGCAATGACTAATCTTTCTGTCTCTATAGATCTGCGTATTCTGGACATTTTACAAATGGAATCATATAACATATGGTCTTTTGTGTCCTTTCACTTAGCATAATGTTTTCAAGATTAATCCATGTTGCAGAGTTATCAAAACCTTATTCTTTTTTATTACCGAACAATATTCTATTGTCTAGATATACCATATTTTGTTTTTCCATTCGTTAGTTGATGGATACTTGGGTTGTTTCCACTGTTTGGGTTTTATGAATAATGCTGTTATAAACATTCATGTATAAGTTTTTGGGTGGACATAAGTTTTCATTTCTCTTGGGTATACAACATAGGAGTGGTGACTCAATGTTTATCATTTTTGTTTGTTTTTTTGTTTTTTATCCTCACCCAAGGACATTTTTCCATTTTTTGTTCAGATAGAGTGGGAGGGAGGGAGGCGGGGGGGTGGGGGCAGAGAGAGAGAGAGAGAGAGAAACACCGATGTAAATAGGATACATCGAGTGGTTGCCATCCACACGACCCAACCAGGCTAGGGACAAACTGCTACCGAGGTACATGCCCTTAGCGGGAACTGAACCCGGGTCTCTCTGGACCGCAGGCCGACGCTCTAACTGCTGAGCCAAACCGGCCAGGGCCAATGTTTATCCTTTTGAGGAACTGCCAGACTGTTTGCCACATCAAATGCAGTGTTTTACATTCCCACCAGCACGGTATGAGGGTTCCATTTCCTTCACATCCTAGTCTACACTTATTATTAACTGTCTTTTTAATTATAGCCATCTTAATGGGTGGGAAGTGGTATCTCAATGTGTTTTCAATTTGCATTTCCCTGATGGCTAATTATGTTGAGCATCTCTTTTTTTTATCCTCACCCGAGGACATTTTTCAATATTTTGTTCAGATAGCATGGGAGGGAGAGAGAGAGAGAAACATCGACGTGAAAGGGACACATCGAGTGGTTGCCACCTGCACAGCCCAACCAGGGCTGGGGACTAACTGCAACCGAGGTACGTGCCCTTAGTGGGAACTGAACCTGGGTCTCTCTGGTCCACAGGCTGACGCTCCAACTGCTGAGCCAAACCAGCCAGGGCTGTTGAGCACCTTTTTATGGGCTTATTATCTGTTTATATAGCTTCTTTGGACAAATGTCTATTCAGATCATTTTCCCATTTTTTAATTAGGTAACTTATCTTTTTAATATTGAGTTGTAAGAGTTCTTTAGACATTTCTAGATACAAGTCCAAAATTACATATATGATTTGAAAATATTTTTCTACCATTCTTTGGGTTGTCTTTTCACTTCCTTGGTTTTTTTTTTTTTTTTTTTGCTTTTCACTTTCTTGATGGTGACATTTGAAGCACAAAAATTTTTAAATTTTGATGAAGTCCAATTGACTTTTTTTTCTCTTCTTGCTTAGGTCTCTGGTGTCACAGCTAAGAAAGCTCTGCCTAAGCCAAGGTCATAAAGATCTACTCCTGTTATAGTTTTAATTCTTAAATCTTATTTATATCTTTTCTCTAGTTGCAAATTAATACCACACTGATAGTACAAACACAACCACCCCATTTCCTTTTTTTCTAAGCCCAGTCTAGTCTATGGCCAGAAATGATTTGTTCATGGGACTGTAATTTCTAAAATTAAACAAAGGCTCACCTATTAGATGTCACCGGTTTCTGTTCCATCCCTCCAGTGACATACAGTTAAGGAAATGTCTAAGGATAAAATACCCTCCTTGCATTTTATGATGATAAATAGAGAATAAGCTTTTTCCACGAAATTTAAACTTAAGAGATCTCTACAGTCATATTCATAAGCTCTAACTCTTTGGAAAATAAAAATGTAATCACTCTACTTATATCTACTGAGACACATCCACATGTTTTCAAAGGATTCCTGTCATGTTCCCAATGTCACCATATAACTTAAGTAATAGAATTGACCTCAACTAAGATTTATTGACAGCCTGCTATATGCAAAGCATTACGGGAAGTGCTGAGATGACTAAATCACAGTTCTTGACCTCAAGGTTATAATTTAGTGGGGATTAAAAAAACAGAGACAGCCCTGGCCGGTTTGGCTCAGCGGTTAGAGCGTCGGCCTGCGGTCCTGAGAGACCTGGGTTCGGTTCCCGCTAAGGGCGCGTACCTCGGTTGCAGTTTGTCCCCGGCCCTGGGGGTGGCAGCCACTCGATGTGTCCCTTTCACATCGATGTTTCTCTCTCTCTCTCTGTTCCTCTCTCTCCCTCCCGCTCTACCTGAACAAAAAACAAAACAAAAAAAATGTCCTCGGGTGAGGAAAAAAAAAAAAAAAAAAAAACAGAGACAGAGAAACTGATGGTTAGATTCAGTCTTCTTGCAGGACCCTTATATTCTGAAGAAATTAATGAGGGCACACCTCTCTAATTCTGAGGCTCAACAAACCCCTTATTTCTTTGCTATGATCTAGGTGCTCCAGCTCTAAATTACAGAGAAACTCCTGAAAAGTTATGTAAAACTTATATTTTTATTTTAAAAAATTATATATGTAAGGGAACTTGGCAAGTTGAAGGAAACCCTATATAACATGAAAGTTCTTGTATGTAAAGAATACCCTTCCTCACATGAATCTTTGCTCAAAGCAGGATCTATTCCCTGTGGGACATACCAGATGGTTTCATCATTTAGCTTTTTTGACTACCAAATACTTTTCTGTGGGATTCCTTTTTAACGTGTAGTTTTTTAGTTACATCAAAACCTGATTCTTTTTTTAAGCTCCAATAAAAGTGAATGTGAATATGTTTTTTAGTTTTACACTACATAACTAGTTTCCAGTTATCTCAAGACATATTGGCACCAAAATCTACATTTCTCTGTTCTTTGTGCTTCCAACTCTCCACTCTGACATGCTAGAAACATCCTGTTGCTTTAGGTCGAATCAATGTTTATTTGATGGAATCAAAATTATGTGCTCTTATACCAGAAAGAGAAATTGAAGAATATTTTGGCTGAGTTGTGTGGTTTATCCACAGTACCACATTATGGTCTAAATGATTTCATTACTTAGTCAAAAGGTTACCACAATTTCAGTGGTTTTCTAGTCACAGTCAATAAAGTAAAGGAAAAAAACAACAACACTATTTACTTATATTCATGACTAAGCAAGTCTTGAAGGGAGCAGTTATGAAGCTGTTTCAACAACTTAAAAAATGCACACAAAAATACAAATGAGCCCTGGCCGGTTTGGTTCAGTGGTTAGAGCAATGGCCCTTGGAGCAGAGTCTAGAGTTCAATTCCAGTCAAGGGCACGTACCTTAGTTTTTGTTCGATCCTGGCCCTGGTTTGGGTCTTTCAGGAGGCAACCAATCAATGTGTCTCTCTCTCTCCCTCCCTCCCTCCCTCCCACTCTATATTAAAATTGGTGGCAAAATGTCCTTGGGTGAATGACAGAAACCATTTATTCTGAGCTGGGAGATGCAAAACAATCAATAAGGTTGTGAAAGAAAAGTTTTTGTTTAAATCAACTACATCAGCTACTTAAATTCACTTTAGGCACCTAAGATAATACCTTCATTTTAAAATTCTTTAGAAGATTGAGAGTAGGATATTTTTTTTGTCTTTTATCTTACCTTGTGGCAACAAGAGGGTAGCTGTGACATGGTGATGCCCAGGCATCCCTTGTCCATGGCATACAGTCATAAAGCAGCAAATCCTTCTCAGTCACTGCCATGAGAACAGGTCTCCACTGTTGTCTTCCACCATCTAGTTTTGCCTGTTACAATGGTGAAATCCAGAAAGCAGAGCTAACTATAACAATATGTAATTGTACAAGTCCCTTCAGTGATGGTCTAACATAACAGGTCTCCATTTAGTTTCCCCATCCATATACTCTAAACATCAGTATTTTTCAAAAATGTTTTATAAGAAATATATTTTACATTACAGCCCAACACACACATATACAAATTAGTGAATTAAAAATTTTCTAAAACCATACAATCCCTATATTTTACGCAGTGTACTCTGATAATTTCTTCTTCTTTTTTTTTTTATCCTCACCTGAGGACATTTTTTCATTTTTTGTACAGACAGAGTGGGAGGGAGAGAGAGGAAGAGAGAGAGAGGGAAACATCGATGTGAAAGGGAAAAGGGACACATCGAATGGCTGCCACCCGCACGACCAACCAGGGCCGGGGACAAACCGCAACCGATGTACACGTCCTTAGCGGGAACTGAACCCGGGTCTCTCCGGACCGCAGGCGGACGCTCTAACCACTGAGCCAAACCGGCCAGGGCAATTTCTTCTTTTTTTAAATCTGATGACCTGCTATGCTATATTTTGGTAAACGCTCCTATGAAGTGTTATAAAAGATTTCTCTATTATACTTAGGAAGTTTATTTCAGTTTCAAATGTACTACTGCATTTACTTGCATAAAGTTCAGTTATCTCTGTGAAGGTTTTAAAATGTAGGAAAACAACCACTGTTTATTCATAATGTCAAAGATCCAAGGCCCAAAAGCAAAAGACTATATTCAAGAAAAGCTCTGATATCATCAAAACATTTGCCCTCATGTCCCTGGTCAGGTAGCTTAGTTGGTTAGAATGTCAACTCGATATGCCAAAGTTGCAAGTTTGATTCCCCGGTCAGAGCACATACAAGAATCAACCAATGAATGCATTAATAAGTGGAATGACAAATAGATGTTTCTCTTTCTCTCTAAAATCAATCAGTAAATAAATTTTATTATTATTATTTTTATCCTCACCCGAGGAAATTTATCTTCAGATGGCGTGGAGGGAGAGAGGGAGGAAGAAAGAGAAACATTGATGTGAAAGAGACACCTCAACTGGCTGCTACCCACATGAGCACAACCGGGGCCGGGGACAAACTGCAACTGTGGTACATGCCCTTAGCCGGAACTGAACTCAGGTCTCTTTGGTCTGTGGGCCGACGCTCTAACCTCTGAGCCAAACCGACCAGAGCTATTATTATTTTTTTATTTTAATAATTTTTCTTTATTGATTTTATTTTCTTTATTTATTTTAAGGTTAATACCATCCTTTTATTTTCCAATCCTCACCTGAGGACATTTTTTTTTTTCTATTTATCTTCAGATAGAGTGGGAAGGAAGGGGAGAGAGAGAGAGACACATTGATATGCGAGGGACACATCGACTGGCTGCCTCTTGCAGGACCCAGACCAGTGCCAGGGACAAACTGCAACCAAAGTACATGCCCTTGACCGGAATTAAACCTGAGACTCATTGGTCCACAGGCCAACACTCTAACTGCTGAGCCAAACCAGCCAGGGCTTTATTGATTATAGAGAGTGAGGGAGGGAGAGGGAGAGGGAGAGAGAGAGAGAGAAACATCAATGAGAGAGAACATTGACTGGCTGTCTTCTGCATGCCCCCCACTGGGGATCGGGCCCACAACCTGGGCATGTGCCCTGACCGGGAATCAAACCAGCAACCTTTTTGTGCATGGGTCGACACTTAACCACTGAGCCACACCAGTCAGGCAGTAAATAAATTAAAAAAATATTTTTGCTCTCCTGAGATAAAATCTTTGAGCAGACAATGTTTAACAACGGTGTATTTTAACACTGATCTTTCAGCTCACTATCATCACAGTGATGGATGACTTCAAGGAGAATCCAAATTGATGGATCATTTGTCTCTTAAAGAGTTGTCTCAGAGCCACTTTATTTTCTCCTCCTTAATGACTTCTAAAGGCAATTTGGACATGTTAGAGCACCTTAAGAATCTATCTATAATCTGAAAAGTGGCCAAAGTGGTTCTATTCTGTGTTACAACATCTAACACCCAGACTCTTTTCTCCTAGCTAGAGCCCCCAGATGATTCCAGGAGTGGGAAATGAATTTCACCCAGTGAAGTGATTCTTGTTTTACCGTGTGCTGAAAGCACACAATATATGACTTGACTTTGAGAATTCAAACAAAGTATTGTAGACATAATTATACTTTTCTTATTAGTGAAACCAAGTTTTCTATGACTCTATTAGTCCATGGGTAACTCTGTAATATCTAGAGGGAGAATATCATCTCTAAAGAGGTTCTCTGGATTCTTACATTTTTGGGTCACAGGTACCCCAAAGGATTTCTAGTTTATGTGCACTATTAAGTCTTTGTCTCTGAGGTTGTTATGGATAATATTTCAATAGGGAAAACAATGTAAAATCTATCTTCCCAAAGGGTTAAAATGATAATCTGATTTTTTAAAAAGTAATTATTCCCCAGGTTGTACGAAGTGATTTTTAAAAAATTTTGTTTTTAAATCCTCACTTGAGGGTATTTTTCCATTTATCTTCAGACAGAGTGGGTGGGAGGGAGAGAGGGAGAGAGAAAAAAAGACAGAAACATTGATGTGAGAGAGACACATCGATTGGCTACCTCCTCCATGACCCCTACCAGGGCCGGTGACTGAATTGCAACCAAGGTATGTGCTCTTGATTGGAACTAGACCCGAGACTCTGGTTCACAGGCCAACGCTCCAACGACTGAGCCAAACCAGCCAGGGCTAAAAATATGTGTTTTTTTTTATCCTCACCCAAGGACATTTTTTGATATTTTGATCAGATAGAGTGGGAGGGAGGGAGAGAGAGAGAAACATTGACGTGAAAGGGACACATCGAGTGTTTGCCACCCACACAACCCAACCAGGGCTGGGGACAAACTGCAACCGAGGTACGTGCCCTTAGCGGAAACCGAACCCAGGTCTCTTGGGACTGCAGGCCGATGCTCTAACCGCTGAGCCAAACTGGCCAGGGCTAAAAGTATGTTTTTATTAATTTTTTAGAGAGGGAGAGGGAGAGAGAAATAGAAACATTGATCAGCTGCCTCCTGCACGCCACTACTGGGTATCGAGCCTACAACCCAGGCATGTGCCCTGACCAGGAATCAAACTAGTGACCTCTTGGTGTGTGGAACGATAATCAATCTATAGAGCCACACAGGCTGGGTTAAGAAAGTGATTTTGAAGGCTAGATCAGAGTATATAAATTTGGAAAACTTAAATTAAAAGTATTTCTTCCCAAGGAAGATATTTTAGGCTCTAAAGCAGTGGTTCTCAACCTTCCTAATGCTGCGACCCTTTAATACAGTTTCTCATGTTGTGGTGACCCCCAACCATAAAATTATTTTCGTTGCTACTTCGTAACTGTAATTTTGCTACTGTTATGTCTTAGGCGACCCCTGTGAAAGAGTCATTCGACCCCCAAAGGGGTCGTGACCCACAGGTTGAGAACCGCTGCTCTAAAGAAAAACTGCTAATGTAATTGAAGTAATTTCAAGAGAGAACTTTTTGTTCAATAAAGAATTTTATTTTATTTTATTTTTGATATGTGCCCCTAGCGGGAACCGAACCCAGGACCCTCTGGTCCGCAGGCCGATGCTCCAACCACTGAGCCAAACTGGCCAGGGCTCAATAAAGAATTTTATTTTATTTTATTTATTTATTTATTTTTTTAATCCTCACCCGAGGACACTTTTCCATTTTTTGTACAGATAGAGTGGGAGGGAGAGAGAGGAAGGGAGAGAGAGAGAGAAACATCGACGTGAAGGGACACATCGAGTGGCTGCCACCCGCACGACCAACCAGGGCCGGGGACAAACTGCAACCGAAGTACGTGCCCTTAGCGGGAATCGAACCCGGGTCTCTCCGGACCGCAGGCCGACGCTCTAACCGCTGAGCCAAACTGGCCAGGGCTCAATAAAGAATTTTAAAAAGTGTTTATTCTTTAGCTCTCTTGAATCTTTAGTTTTTGGAGAATATCTTTTCCCTCTTCTACTTCACTGGAGAAAAATGAAACCTCAATTTAAGTCATTCTGTTTGCCTTAACTTATAAAGATACTATTTGCTTTTACTGGAGTCAAATGCTGCCTCCTATATATAGCATGTGTTTTGGGTTGTGGTATCAGTGCAAGCAAGCCTTAGGGCTCCCCTATTGAGGTTTGGCTGAAGAAAAAAGAGACATTAATGTTAGGGTTCTGGTTTGCTTGTGTTTCAACACCCACACATCCATATGCATGCATACACTCTGGCCAAATTAAGAGCCTTCTCCAAACTTTATTTTCTAATAAATAGAGTTGGACAGCACTAAAGAGGAAAAAATACTTATATTTATTACTCATTCCCTAAACCTCTTAATCTTATAAGTATTTTGACAAGTGATATACTTCTATTCTTCATTTTTATAATATAAAATACAGAGCAAACATTAAATAAACCACTTTACTAATACTAATTTGAGTCTTTACACATTTGAGGAATTATCAGGGACCGAGTAAGAACTGTGGGAACAAAGCTTTCTTTGGCTGCCTTGGTTTTTCTAAACTATACTCAAATGCTTAAAAATACTGGTTTTACACATAATACATGTTCCCCATTTGGTACACTTAAAGAAAATCCCTTTTAATAATATAACCAACTAAAAGGTAAACTATCAGTCACATAAAAATCAGTATCAACAGAGGACAGAAGTCCCTAAGCATAGAACAGATTATCAGTTACCAAATATCTGAATTATAGGTTTTCCCTGTTTTAAGCAAACTCAATTTATGACAATGTGAAATAACAGAAAAAGATAAATTAAGGAGAAATCATTTAAAGTTAAATGATATTTTCTTAATTTATTTGCCCTAAATAATTATCTTTTCTAAGTGCAAATGAAATGGTTTTATTTATATGTAAGCTTTCAGGTGATGGACCACTTGCCAAAAGAAATGCTTACCTATACTAAACAGATTCCATGATCTGAAATTATCTTGGCCATCTTCACACTCATAAACACTCTTATAGTCAGAAAAGGCTTTGGCATTTAGTTAGTCCAATCTTTATCAGATATAGAAGCTCATAATACCTCTGAGAAATGGTACCCAATCTAGCTTGAACACCTTATTCTGAAAGTGGTATTTAATTTGGGTAACCCAATCAACTATCTCAGAAAAGTGAAAATCAAGAATATTTTAGGAACAGTGTTTTGAATTAGTTCAGTGGTACTATTTTTAAAGTGGTTGAAACTTTTCTTCTTAGTACTATTCCCTAAAACTAAAGTTGTGTTCTGAGACAAGATTTTTAATTAGCAACTTGTTTGCTTGCTCTTTGAATGTATATACAAAGAAAAAAACTACTGAGCATCTACTATACACAAAGCATGATGCTAAGTTCTCTGGTGGCAATAAAGGTTTGGAAAAAGTGTGCTCCCATCTTCCAAGAGCTCACAAATGAGTGGAGGAAACACACATAATACGGTCCATAAAGGACATACTGTGATGAATTGGTGGCTTTATTTTTCTCCCTTCTACTTGTCCGTATGTAGCATAAACCATATTAAGTTCACTTTTTTGTTGTTGTTAATCCTCACCCGAGGGTATTTTTCCATTGATTTTTAGATAAAGTGGAAGGGAGGGAGGGAGAGAGAGAGAAACATCAATGTAAGAGAGACACATCGATCGGTTGCCTCCTGCACAACTCTGACTGGGATCAGGGACCAAACCTTCAACCCAGGTATGTGCCCTTGACTGAGAATCAAACCCATTATCCTTGGATCCGTGGGCTGACACTCTAACCACTGAGCCAAACTGGCCAGGGCTTAAGTTCACTTTAAAAGTCTGACAACTCGCATACATTGCTGGGAATCTAAATTAATTCAAGCATGAGAGAAGGCAATTTGGCAGTATTTATCAAAATTACAAATGCATATACCCCTTGTGGTAATTTAAAAATATGTCAACAGCCCTGGCTGATTTGGCTCAGCAGTTAGAGCATCGACCCATGGACCAAAGAGTCACGGGTTTGATTCCAGTCAAGGGCATGTACCTTGGTTGTGGTTCAGTCCCCGGCCCTGGCTGGGGTTGTATGGGAGGTAACCAACTGATGTGTCTCTCTTACATCAAGGTTTTTCTCTGTCTCTCTCCCTCCCTCCCCTCATAGTCTATCTGAAGATAAATGGAAAAATAACCTAGGATGAGTATTAAAAATTTTTTAAATGTCCACAAATTCTTTACTACTCTTCCCTTTAAAAGGTGAAACCCTTGGGTGTCGGCTGGATAGACTCAGTAGCTTGATTCTAATGAAAAGAATAAAGCAGAAGAGACTAGGTCATAAGGCACAATAGCTTCCATCTCATTCTCTCTCTCAGATCACTCACTTTGGGGAAAACCACTAGTCATGAGAACATTCAAACAGCCCTGTATGGCAAAGAACTGAGGATTTCTGCAACAGGCAGCAAGGAACTGAGGCCTCCTGTCCACAGCCATGTGAATGAATCATGTTGGAGGTGGACCTGCCAACCCTGGTCAAGCCCTTAGATGACTGCCACCCTGGCTGACAGTTTGACTACAACTTCATGAGGGATCATGGCCAGAACCACTGAGTCAAACTGTAACAAGATTCCTGATCCTTAGAACTATGTACGGTAAATGTTTGTTATTTTAAAGCCACTATGTCTGGGGGTAATTTGTTATATAGCAATATGTAATTAATATACCCTTTGACTCAGCACTTCTAGCAATTTATGCTACAGATACAGAAATACCCGTACTCTGAACTGTCATTATCCAACTTCAGGAATTGATACAAATTTTTGGATACGTTCCTTTCTAACCAAAGTTTTACTACTCACTAACACAAACTTAAGAACCAAATATATGTCCAGCCAGTATAGCTCAGTGGTTGAGCGTCGACCCATGCACCAAGAGGTCACCAGTTTGATTCCTTGCCAGGACACATGCCCAGGTTGTGGGCCTGATCCCCAGTGGGTGGCATACAGGACGCAGCCAACTGATGTTCTGTCTCATTGATGTTTCTATTTCTCTCTCCCTCTCACTTACTCTCTCACTAAAATCTATAAAGCAGGGGGTGGGGGACACCAAATATATTCAGATATGTGGGTTCCCTAGTTATCTGATCTATCTGAACTTGGGAACCAGAGTTTAGATAGCACATGTAAAAACGGACCGACTACGAGGTTATTCATTGAAGCATCAATTGTATAAAAAAAATTTTTTTTTCTTCATTGATTTTAGAGGGAGAGGGAGAGATGGAAACATGGAGAGAGAACATCGATTGGCCGCCTCCTGCATGCCCCCCACTGGGGATCAGGCCCACAACCTGGCCATGTGTCCTGACCGGGAATTGAACTGGTGACCTCTTGATGGCGCATGGGTCGATGTTCAACCACTGAGCTACACTGGCTGAACTTAATTTTATTTATTTATTTATTAATTAATTTATTCATTCATTCATTTATTTTTTTTATCCTCACCCGAGGACATTTTTCCATTTTTTTGTTCAGGTAGAGTGGGAGGGAGAGAGAGGAACAGAGAGAGAGAGAGAAACATCGATGTGAAAGGAACACATCGAGTGGCTGCCACCCGCACAACCGACCAGGGCTGGGGACAAACTGCAACCGAGGTACGCGCCCTTAGCGGGAACCGAACCCGGGTCTCTCAGGACCGCAGGCCGACGCTCTAACCGCTGAGCCAAACCGGCCAGGGCCATTCATTTATTTTTAACTCATCTTTATTGTCTTTTTTTTATCCTCACCCAAGGACATTTTTCCATCTTTTGTTCAGATAGAGTGGGAGGGAGAGAGAGGAAGAGAGAGAGAGAGAAAAAAACATCGATGTGAAAGGAACACATCGAGTGGCTGCCACCCGCACGACCAACCAGGGCCGGGGACAAACTGCAACCGAGGTACGTGCCCTTAGCGGGAACTGAACCAGGGTCTCTCTGGACCGCAGGCTGATGCTCTAACTGCTGAGCCAAACCGGCTAGGGCTCTCATCTTTATTGTTGAATGTATTACAGATGTTCCCCCCTTTTTTCCCCATTGACCCCCCTCTTCCTCAATCCCACCCCCTCATTCCTTCTCCACACTATTGTCATGGGTGTCCTTTGGTTATGCATATATGCATAGAAGTTCTTTGGTTTATCTCATCCTGCCCTCCCTCTCCATTTCTCTTTGAGTTAACCTCTTAACTCTTTATTCTGATTTTTGAACCACGTGAATATGTTACCTTTTAAAAATCATGAAGATTTCTAATAATGCTGAAGGCACAAAACAATTACCACTCAATCAAATTTTTCAACTAGCACATAAAAAAAAACTGATAAACATAATTAAAATACTAAAACTTTCAGAAGTCATAAGTACTTATACCATGATTTTCACTAGTTTCTTCTCTATTTAGTTATTCTAATTATGCTTCCTAGAAATGATCACAGTACTAATTCTATGTCCTAATTTATTATAATTATTATTTGAAATGTTCATAAAATTTCAGAGCTGAAAAAAAATAGATTAGTGGAGTTTAAAAATGGTCTATGACACAGTCACTGAAAGCTACCAAACAAAATTGCCAGGCCTCACAATAGTTCTACCACCTTTGAGGTGGAAAGGTATGAGGCCAGACCTGGGAAACTGTCCTTAAAACAAAACAAAACAAAACAAAACAAAACAAAACAAAACAAAACAAAACAAAACAGTCTGCTGGTGTGGCTCAGTGGTTGAACACTGACCCATGTACCAAGAGGTTGCTGGTTCAATTCCAGGTCAGGGCACATGTCCAGGTTGTGGGCCTGATCCCTGGTGGGGGATGGGGCATGAAGGAGGCAGCCAATCAGTGTTCTCTTTCATGATGTTTTCTATCTCTCCCTCTCCCTTCCTCTCTCTCTCTAAGATCAATAAAGAAAAAATATTATAAAACAAACAAAAAACAAAACCACCCTGGGCTGATAACTGACAAAGTCCCTGGCCCCTTGTACACACATAAGGGATCCAGAATTTAAAGAGATGAGGGAACTTTAAAAAATATCTAAAACCAGTGAAAAACAGAACTAGCACTTGAACCCAAAATTCACTTTTCATTTTTCAACTCTTTTCTGGTCCAGCTGACAGTGAAAGACCCAAAAGGAAAAGTATGTATCATAACACTGCATAGAACTTTTAGTCTCCCTTATGTCAAACTTGGATTAAGTTCGTCCTTTCCCTTCAGCTAATATCCACTTAGGTTTTCTTGTTTCTCTTCTCTTCATTTTTCAGTTGTGGAAGACATCTGTCTAATGGCTTGTAAAATATTTTGTATATTTTATACTTTTCCCAGAGCAGGGGAGTAAGCCTGCTGCCCCTGAAACTCTGTTAACAGACTAGAACAGGGGTTGGGAAACTATGACCTGTGGGCTAAATGCAGCCTACTACTGGTTTTTATAAATAAAGTTTTACTGAAACACAACCACACCTATTCATTTTCATATTGTCTATGACTGTTTTATTGCTACAATGGCAAACTCAAGTAGTTGTGACACTATCTGGCCCTTTGCAGTAACAGTTTGCTGATCCTGTTCTAAAATCATGAAAAGTATTCTCTGTCATTAAGAACAGAGATGACAGATAATAACCTCTTTTTAGTTATGTAGTGATGATTATTATCATGAAGGTCAGTTCTTCTGGTGCAGGTGATAATTAGCAACAAATTGCTAAAAGGTAGAGAGGAGAAACAAAAGATGTGCAAGCTAATATCTAGGACCCGACTATATGATCAATAATACAGATACAAGGAATTTGCAAGCCAGATGTCCAGAACCTGACTGCATGATACATATGAAATGGGGGAACCATCCTGGCTCTGATTGGCAACCCTGTCCTACCTCCCAGCCTACCTGTTCTGCCAGCCAGGCAATGTGCTTGACCTCCTTGCTGCCTCCTGCTGTACTGGTTGCACCAAGCATGGCATTGAGTTCAGCCAACACCTGTGGGAGGAGAGCCATTATGTTGGTGTGGATAGCTACGAACCAGGAGTGTGCAGTGGCTGTATCCTTGCAGCGTAGGATCAACGTGTTTCTGCTATCAGGTGAATGTAGCTCTATCAATCTGTGTGGGGGAAAAAAAAGTGAGCTAGATCAGAAGTCATCAAACCTGCCAGGGTTTAACATACATTACTGGAAATCTATTTAAATTTTACATTCCAGAATAGAGATGCTTTCTCTTAATCCCGTAGAGTCCAGTTCCAGAGAAAACCACATATGGAAAGATAATCATCAGAAAGACTAACTGTTGGGTCTCTTGTTTCAATGTGTTAATGTAATAACCTAAGATGAGGGAACCTGCTGTATAGTCTTTAACAGAACACTCCACTTTGCCTTAATTTCCATGTCAAAGAAATAGAAAACACACCCAGCTGGAGTGGCTCAGTGGATTGAGCATAGACCATGGACTGAGAGGTCCCAGTTCAATTCCTGGTCAGGGCACCCGCCCAGGTTGTGGGCTCCATCCCAGTAGGGGGCGTGCAGGAGGCAGCCGATCAATGTTTCTCTTTTACATCAATGTTTCTATCTCACATCAATGTTTTTATCTCTCTCTCCCTTCCTCTCTCTCTCTTAAAAAAAAAAAAAAAGAAAAAGCACGCTTGTTGAATCTGATAGGCACATTGTAAAGAAGGAATTGGTATTTAAAAAAAATACTTAGATAATACCTTATAAAATATCATTATAAGGTATTGCTAGGTAAATAAAACCCACTGCCAAACAGTGAACAAAAATTTCCACTATGTAAAATAAAGGAAAAAGGAAACAGTTGAAGAATATGATTCCTTACAAAAATTTACAACTGTTTTTTAGTGTCTGGGTAACATCATATGATTAAATCATCCACTGACTCAGTAGAAAAACAGTTAAGAGATTTTCAACTCTGTGACTATTATTTGTTAATGCTCAACTGAGAACAATATATATACTTCAAAAGTAACCTTTAGGAATTAGGTAAAATTTTTAAAAAGTACATTAAACAAATCTAAAAAAAATTATTTTTCTTTATTGATTTTAAAGAGAGAAAGGGTGAGAGAGAGAGAGAGAGAGAAACATCAATGAGAAAGAACATCAACTGGCTGCCTCCTGCATGCCCCCAACTGGGGATCAGGCCCACAACCTGAGCATGTGCCCCAACCAGGATTCGAACTGGTGACTTCTTGGTGCATGGGTCAACACTCAATCATTGAGCCACACTGGCCAGGCAAACAAATTCTTCATATAGCAATTTATTAGGTATTGTTTTGTGTTTTGGCTGACGTTTATGTCAAGATGAATTTAAAAAGTCAAATAAATAAGTGACTAACATATACATACTACTGTGTTCTAACAGTTTTTTCGAAATGGAAAATGCTCTTAGAAGTGTTTTTCATAGTAGGCTAGAAACTGACAAATTGCCATTGATCAAGAGATCCGTTTATTCTTTCACCTTTCTAAATACAGTTTTTGTTGCCTTGAAGCACTATAATCAGATACTATACCTCCTGTCAAAGATAAGCAGTTTACACGTACACTGTACGTCTGCCTTGAAGCTTTCATCCCTTTCTTTCACCAAATATTTTATTTAAAAAAAAAAAAAATATATATATATTTTATTGATTTTTAGAGAAAGGAAGGAAGAAGAAGAGAGAGATAGAAACATCGATGAGAGAGAACATTTATTGACCACCTCCAGCAGGTCCCCCACTGGGGATCGGGCCCACAACCTAGACATGTGTCCTGACCAGGAAAAGAACCAGTGACCTCCTGGTGCACGGGTCGATGCTCAACCACTGAGCCACACTGGCCAGACAAGTTTTAATAATTTTTTGTTTATTTGAGTACCAGTCCTTTGATATGTATTTTACAAAGATTTTCTTCTGGTCTGTAGCTTGTCTTTTCATTCTCTAATGGTGTGTGCTGGTTAATTTCATGTGTCTACTTTTTGTTTGTTTGTTTTCAATCCTCACCCGAGGATATTTTTCCATTGATTTTCAGAGAGAGTGAAAAGGAGGTAGGGAGGGAGAGAGAAACATCAACGTGAGAGAGACACATCAATTGGTTGCCTCCTGAACGACCCCGGGGTTGGGGATCAAACCTGCAACCCAGGTAGGTGCCCTTGACCAGGAATCAAACCCATGACCCTTTGGTCTGAGGGCCGACACCCTAACTGCTGAGCCAAACCAGCCAGGGCTTTATGTGTCATCCTTGACTAAAGGATGCCCAGATTAATGGTAGGTAAAACATTATTTCTGTGTCTGTGAGGGTGTTCCTGGAAGACATTAGCACTTGAACCAGTAGACTAAGTAAAGTGGCCCTCATCAACTTGGATGGGTACCATCCAATTGATCAAGGGCATAAACAGAACAAAAAGGTGGAAGAAGGGCAAATTTGCTGTCTCCTTGAGTTAGGACATTTATCTTTTGTCCTTGCACACTGGCACCCCTAATTCGTGGGCCTTTGAACTCAGACTGAATTATACCACTGGCTTTCCTGTTTCTCCAACTTGTAGACAGCAGATGGGACTTCTTGGACTCTATTATTGCATGAGCCTATTCCTATAATTAATAAATCCATCCAACCATCTTTCCTATTACTCTGTTTCTCTGGAGAACCTTAATACACGGTGTCTTTTACAGAGCAGAAGTTAATTTTAATAAAGGTAAATTTATCAGTTTTTTTCTTTTATGTACTGTGATGTTGGTGTTATATCTGAGAAGTCATTAGCAACCTTTAAAGGGGATTTTTTAAAAGCATAATCCTACAAGCTCAGGGAGAACAGAAGAGGAGCAACCACAAAATTTTGGAAACTGACAAGCAGACAGAGGAATAAAATGACTTATTAGACCTAAGAAAAGTGGGGAGAGTCAAATCTTAGCCAATCCATGTTGTAGAATCCCATAGAGGCTGGGGAATTGGAGACACTAGTTACCTCTGGAACTGGGAGTAAAGCACACAGCTAAAATAGAGAGGCTGGCTGAAAGTCTGTTTCAGCATTCCCCACACCCAGACACCAGTGACTAGCCTACCCTCAAACCAGCAAGATTCAAACCCACTCTCATCACACCTAACTGGGTGAAAGAGCCAGTGATGGATATCCTTACTTCAGACCCTCTAAAGGGCTAATTGTTTTCTATAGGGGATAATTATTTCCACCTGGTTGCTTTGGCACTGTAATCAGCTTAACATCCTTTAGATAGTCGTAAAACTATAACAAGAAATTTCTTTCACTCCTCCTCTTGGCCTACTTAGCACTACAGATAGGAATCAGTTCATCCTTTTCTGGGCACAAAACGTTCACCTTCTGAAAAGGCCTTTTTACCTCATACAGTTCCTGGGACAGTCTCTCAGACACATCTCTAACACAATCTAAATAAATTCTGAAAATCCTAAAGACCCTAGTTATTAATAACTGGAAGAATGGAAAGTAAGTTTGTTATAAAATAAAACTAAACCTGATTAATAAGGACCACTAGGTTGGAAAAAGATGTAAATTAGTTCCCAGGCCAGGATCACCAATTTTTCATGAAAAGAGAAATTTTGCAGTATTTTTTAAAAAAGAGATTATGAAAAAAAAATCCAAAAATGTAACAAAGGGATTATGAAATAGCAAATTAAAAGAAACAGAAAAGCCTGGCCATTGTGGCTCAGTGGTTGAGCATCGACCCATGCACCAAGAGTTTGCCAGTTCGATTTCCGGTCAGGGCACATGTCCAGGTTGTGGGCCAAATCCCCAGTGGGGGCATGCAGGAGGTGGCCAATCGATGTTCTCTCTCATCGATGTTTCTATCTCTTTTTTCCTCTTCCTTCCTCTCTCTCTAAAATCAATAAAGGAAAAAACAAAAAGAAACAGAAAAAAAAAAAACCCAAATCCTGATCGTTCTTGGATCCAGAAGAATCTGCTTTCAAGAGGAAGTCCCTATACCTGATAAAGGGGAAAAAGTATTTCCTAAAGCCTATTGCTGTTTAAAAAAAAAAATTCATATGAAAACTCTAACAAAAATTTGAAGGCAGTTTGCCAGTAATTGTTTGGGTCCACGGGAGAGAGGAGGAAATAGCTACAGTGTGAAGAGTTTTGGCTTCTAGTCAAACCACTGAGGATTTCCTGAGAAATGCAATTCCATTTTGATCATCTGAGTCAAATCAATGTTTAGGTACACAGAAGCATAGGATTCTGTAAAACTAGCCTGAGTATTTCTTCTATTTAGTAGTCTTTGACATAACTTATGTGTTAAATTTAGTAATCATATTGTTTTATATGTCATAAAGCCAAAATTAACCTTTCACATGGAAAACAGCCAATGTGAAGATAAACAAGACATTGTGAACCAGCTCAAAGGAAAGAGATCTACATTTCCAAAAAGCAGTGTTTAAGAACACCTTGTCCTTGCTAAACTCCACACTGCCTACAATGCTGTTTGTTAAGGAATGGGCTCATGTTCTCTCCCTGAACTTCATCATTATTTATTTAGCTTTCACTTTCCAGAATGAACTGTTTATAACTATCAGAAGCATCTAGTGAGGTCTTGAGAACTCAAGGTAGAGGAAGAGAACAGGCTTCCTCCTTCTCCTTACTTACTCATTCTGATGGTCAGCACTTTTTTTTTTAGCCCTGGATAGTAAATATGAAACTAAATAAAAGTAGTAAAGCAGAAGAAAAGAATGCTTCCCTTTCATGTCAAATAAGTTTTTCATTTAGAAGGTGAAAGATAAACCATAAAGAGATTCCTACATACCCACCAGTATAGTTAATATTAAAAAGACAAAAAAAACTAACATCACCAATGTTGTTGAGTGTGTGAAGCAACAGAAACTCACCTACATTGTTGGAGGGAATGTAAAATGGCACAACCACTTTGGGGAAAAGTCTGGCAGTTTTATTTTTTATTTTTATTTATTATTATTATGATGATGATGATGATGATGTTTTTGGTATGTGCCCCTAGTGGGAACCGAACCTGGGACTCTCTGGTCCGTAGGCCGATGCTCCAACTGCTGAGCCAAACCGGCTAGGGCTGTCTGGCAGTTTTTTAAAAGACTAAACATATACCCACCCCTTGACCTAGCAATTCCAGTCCTAAGAATTTA